TAGTAATATATAAATATATTAGTAATATGTAAATATATTATTAACAATAAATAAGTGTATTAAAATATAAATATATTATTTTTTTATGTAACAAATATACACAGATACAATTTTGCTGAAGTTTCTTGGACAAATTCAGATCTGAAAATAATTTTGTTACATTAATTATCATCAAAATAATTATATATGACGTTTAAATTGATTGATAAAATAATAATAATTTTTGTAATATTATCGACATGCTTAAGTGTTAATAATTAAAATTTGTATTTGTCCAAATTTTTTATATACTTCAGCAAAATTATTTTTTCCATGTGAATAAATATATAAGGTGTCTGATAATAAGCGTATCACCTTTTGCGAGCAGATAAAAGGAGTTAAACTGAGCAGAAAAGTTCGATGTCATTTTGCGAATTTTAAAATAATGAATAAGACATTAATTTATATAAATCCGCGGATAAATGTACATCCGTATGAATAAATAGCTCAGCTTTATGCGCTCACTTGCTAGGCACGGAACAAGATATTTGGAGATCGTATATATAAACACATGCTCTATCACTCGTAGATCACATCTCTAAATATCTTGCTGCACATCTTGTAGCAACCGCACAATCATTTCTGTGCTGTCTCTTCGTGTGGATGTGACGATTATTCGTTGATTTTTATAAATTAACAACTCATTTATTATTGCAAAAATCGCAAAGTAATAAAAGATTTTTCTACTCGATATAACACCCTCTATCTATCCATGAGAGATGATATGAACATTATCGGACACCCTGTATAATAAATTACTGTATATAATTATTGACACCCGAGACACTACCGTGTCTATACTTCCGATGTATATAGTAAATTCTAGATCAGAAACATGGTAAATTTTATATATATATAGTATCATTATTGTAATTACAACAATTTACTCTTTTGCCGTATTTTTAACTAAGTCTCCTCAATAATTACTTCTCGCTTACAACGATAAAACGAACGATGAACTCGCTGCTTGGGTTTCACGAAGGTTTAACTTACGTAATTTCATGAACGTATACCATGAACTTCGTTTGTAACAGAACTCGTGACAGAAAATGCTTATACTTTCAATTTCGAAATGACTCATTACGCTCCTCTGAGGAAAGAGGCAAACGCACGAATAACAAACCGGCTCAGTTGCATCCGTTAGGTAACATTTACCTTCCAGTCTTCTTGCTTTTGCATACGCACGAGTGGAACTGAAAGATCTGGACTTGCACAATGAGGCAACCGGTAGAATCGTCAATCTTTTCTGCAAGTGATATTTCTCCGCTTCCCGTTTTCCGTTAGGGAAACGATCCCCCTTTCTTCGACGGAATTTCTCTTTATCGTACAACGACCGTTGACAGATTTATGATGATTGCATCTGATAAGCGTGCAATTCGGTGCATTCGTAATGCATAAGAGGTAAATTCGTATTTTATACCAAATAAATAAAAGATTTATGTATATGTCAAATATATATCTCAAAGACGTTGTGGTAGAAAATTGATGATACCTTTTTAACTTTTTGAAAGGAGAAAAGAAGATTAGATAGAAATAAAATAAAAAAGTCATTTATTGGACGCTCTCGGACAATATTGCCTCGAAGAACCAAATACGAGTAAAATGGACGCATAAAGTGTAAATACAACCAGAAATAAATAGGAAACGAAAAATTTATATTAAACAAAAAGTATTATGTGGTACTTTGATGTGATATTTTATTTATCATGTAAAATTGATTGATAATTTAATTTTAGCAAATTTTTTCAAAAATAATTTAAATTAATTGATTAATATTTAATGAAATAAAATATACTTATTTAAAATGACAATTAATATTTTTCCTCCCAAAATCCCAATTTTTCCTCCCAAAATCCCAATTTCCCAATATCTCAAAATCCCAAAATCCCAAAAATTATTTAAATGTATTTATAAGATTTATGTGTAAGAAAAGAAAAATTAGAAATGGAGAGGGAGAGTAATTAAAAGGAATAATAACTCCGCGCCATCTTTTCTACCATTGTGTAAACCTCTGTTTCAATTTGTTATAATTCTACATTATTCGCCGTGATGCCTCGCGAATTTATGGAATATCGCACTCTCAAGAGTGATCTGCAACGTTCGATCGCGTATGTGCTCGATCGAGAATACGATAGAAAATTACGGTTATAGGTCCCCCATAATATCGAGGGACTTCCATTTTCCGCGACCGATCGATCGATTTCCGCGATCAGATTATTCGTCGAGCGTTCCCGTGATTCGACGAGGCCACGTGAACCGAATACTATCGCTCTTATGTTATCGCGTTGTATCGCGCAGTCGTAATGCTGCCTAAAACTTGTCCCATCACGATTGTTAATCAAAATGGCCAGCGGCGAGAAATTTTCATATTCATGAGCTGCGACTATTATTACGTTATGCATCTATTGTTAATGCATCCACGATTCCGGTTCGACCGGTTGATGCGGAGCTAAAAGGGTGATTCAATCCCTTTCAACCCTATAACGTCAATCGACATCGCATCTATTATATATTTCATGTATGTCAATCTTTGTACAAGAAATTAGCAAGCAATGTTGACACGATCAACCTTTTATTCTATTAAAAACGAGTGTTCGGAGTAATGTATAATATCCATTATGTATATTAAATAAAATTGTAAAAATAATAATATAAACAAATATAAATACTTGATATTTTTACGTTTTAGGTAAGTAACGAGTACAATTGCGGTGAAACTAATAAAATCACATTAAAACATATTTATCTTTATTTGTTATACGTACGTACAGAATATATTATTTCAAAGTATCGAATATTTTAATTGTCGGGAAATCAACGCGAATAAGAAAAACTATTTCGCATATAATGACCATACCATATATATATATATATATATATATATATATATATAGTTCGAACAATATCCCTTTGACATTTAGATGTAATTAATGGCATTCAAGTACGTAAATTTCCGATTTATCCTTACATAAATTATGCATCTCATTATCAAAATAACTTGTTACGTATAAATGTTATCCTACAAAAACTGCAATATTTCACTTTTCATAATTATCCGAGACTGCCATCTCTCTTAAAAGTAAAAAACCGTCGAAATTCAATTATTGCTAATGATTCGAAGCGGTGCTGCTCAAAGCAGTGGATTTTATACTTAATGGAGGGACATTATTTTCTATAAAGTAAATCATTAAAAGCCTTTCGGCGAAGAGTACCTCAAGTGTCTTACTTTCGTACTTTTAGATAACGAGCTTTACTTAAAGCAACCGGAGGCTACTGAGGTAAAATAGGGGGAGGGGGGGGGCCAATAAACCCGCGTTAAAGGCTACCGGCAAAATCGATTGAGCCATCGACGATCGGTCGGTGTCATAAACTTCGCCGGGATTCCTGTAGGAAATCAGGGGGTGGGTGGACGAGAAAGAAGACGCGGGAATGGGGCGCCCTTTTACCGTTCTCGTATTTTTCCGCAAATAACACCGTTCCTCTTCCCTTCATCCTTCTACCTCGCGGTTTTTGCAGCATCCAACAGTAGGCTATGTAAGGAACTTTATCACCGCGCGAAAAGGAAAGAATTGTATATATGAAAAGTGCTAAAACCGCGATATAATATTTCATTCGCCATTACTTACGGCGTATCTCGTACATCGTTTCTTTAACAACACACAAATTTTTCGCTAGAATCGAGCGCGATGAGTATTTACATGGATTAAGAAAACTAATGAGACAAATTAATATGCCAAATTAACATCGCGTAAAGTAACAATAAGAAGCAAAAAAAAAAAATAATCTGCGACAAACTTCATTAGCATTAGTTGTCCGTTTATTTATAGCTGTCAATTGATATATTGCTCTTGTTAAATTGAATTAAACTCGCCACCGTGATAAATCAGTATTTTATTTCAATGACGTAAGACGGTCGATCTCTAAATTGGCATTTTCGTTCCATCGTCTTCGCTCAACGCGTAGATTTATATATATATAAAAAATAACCTATCTTCATTGGGCGGGTCTCGAGTGTTTTAATTGTTTCCTTTTTAGGAAATTTCCACATATGAGCAAAAACAATCCGCAAAATGCCGAATATATTCCTGTTCGTGTTTTATGCAAACCTAGCGCGACGCGCTCGATGGCTATGTTGCAATACAATTTACATCTGTAGCATGATCCGTCGTTTATGATTTAAATAAAACACCTTCGCGAAAATAAACGCGTCGCGAATATAAAGCACTTTCTGAAAATCGGCACGACACATTCGGACGGAGGTGCGTCTTCCGTCGGAGACAATTCTTAAGATGAAAATCTACGCGCGGTTACGAAATTCCGCTGCGAGTTACTCCGCGCGGAGATTTATGTCCGCGCTGCGGAAACGAAAACGGTTTATACCAAATTGTGCAATATGAGAAAATACTACGGCTGTGTGAGTGACTTTTAAAAACAGAGAGCTATTTCGCAATCATTTTACAAAATAGAAACCGCGTCGATTTCTTCTCAAATGATGAGAATTAAGATATTGTAAACTTTTAATTGCCGTAACGCGAGATATGGGAAACAACAGGGCAAGGATTTAATTTCTCTCATTACAGGGTGATTCGATTTTGGCTGCTATAATATATATAATGTCCAGCATCGCGTCGCAACACGATAATAAATGCTTGCGGGATATAGCATCAATAAATATTTTAGAAACGACGCCGACAACATCTCCGAGTTCCGGTTGCATACGAGAATCAAGTGAATTTATATTCCGCTGAATCACAAAATGATCGTTACTAAGTGAATAATATCTTGAATTTTGTCACATTTCGACACAATATATAAATCGCCGTGTTTTTCTTTACAAAAGTATACATCTAAAAAGAATCGATTAGGACCTCGAAAATATGCAAATCAAACAGTTGTCATTCCACAGATGTCATTCTATGAAAAAATGGACAAAAATATATATAAAATATTATCAAATTATAATATATCCAGTTCCGTCAGAAAGATCAGTATTTAAATTTTAATATTTAATTGTAATTTAACTAAGCATCACTAATGTCATTATATAAAAAAGTTCTATGAATAAGAAAAAGATAAAAAAAAAATATAATAAAAGATATATAAAATATAATAAAGCGCTAGCGGATAAAGGTAACATTCTTCCTGCATTTTAAAATCGTTTTAAAATCGTTTTCCAAATTCCATTTCACATAAAATGTTTTAGACCCAATCTCCTTAATATTGGGGAATAATGAATTATGCTCAATCCTTACGATTAGGGCTACTGTCATTGTGCAATATAAATATAAAAAAAAAAATCTACAGTACGAGGAGGAAAAGAGATAATCCTCAATATTATGTAATGTAACCATTCCTTATAAAATTATATCAGACCCTTGCTGCGAGTTCGCCGTTACGTTGCCATATCAATCAATCCTGATTTAGGCCGTTTGCCGCGAGCGGTGCCTCGCGCATATCGGCCGGGTAAAAGTTAGCCCTTTGCAAAAAGATTTAAAAAGAGTAAACGGAGCAACGTTATACCGATATATATATATATATATATATATACACCGATATAGAC